ATACAAGGTCGTCTGCAAACAGCAACCTTCTCGTCTTCACATCTGCACCGGAAACACTCAGCCCTTTGTCTCCACTTGACTATTCTATCCGTCTACAACTCAAACAGAAGATGGTACAGGACGCAGCCTTGGCGGAAACCAGTGCCAATGTTGAAGGATTTCGACTTAACGGCATTTACTCTGAGGCAGCAAGTGCAATCAAAATACAGTGATTGGATTGCCCTTAGCAGGTGGCCATCAATCCCGTATGCACGAAGGCATGTCCACAGACTGTTGCGTGGGATCCAGTCGTAGGCTTTTTCAAGGAGGATCAATAACTGAATGTCCCTATAATTGGAGCATTCCTTGTGGTCTTCGTTCTTGAATAGGAGTACAATAACTCGTTTCCCAGTCCGCTGGTATCTTTCTCGTAGTCATCGCAGTTTGACAGAGACGTGTAAGATAGCGCCGTCTTGTTCGCCTAATGCCTTGAGCATTTTGCGACAGATTTCATCAACTTCAGCAGCCTTTCCATTTATCAAGCTTTTCACTGCTTGTTTAATTTCTTCTACAGAGATAGTAACATCCGTTCCTTGCTGCTCTATACGCGAGTCTTTCTGCGGTTGATCGGGGTTAAGGAGTTTCTCAAAGTACTCCTTCCATCGACGAAGAATGTCATCTTCATTGGTAAGAGGGTGTCCATACCTGTCCTTCAAGACTCTGAGACCCCGCATTTTCACCTCGGAGCCGGCGGATAGTCTGCCAGATTATCTTGTTTGCCATGTAGAAATTCGACTCCAACACATCATGGAACTTCTGCCAAGAATCAGCTTTGGTTTTCGTCACTGCTTTTGCTGTCGCCATGCGCGCTTCTGCATATCGGATGCAATTGGAAGGCTCTTTGCTTCCAAGCGATTTCTTGAACGTTGTTTTCTTCTTTTAACTGTCAGTTGTACCTCTCGTGTCCACCATCAAGATATTTTCTGCCCTCCAGGCGGCATGCCAACCCGTTTAAATCCGCAGCATTCCACGGCAGCCTCGAGTATGCCGCTCTTAAACAGCTGGTCATCTGTTGAAACAGTCGTGCGATGTTTGCAAATTTCGTTCCCATGTCCACTGAAGATAATGTTTCCCATTTGATTCTCTGGTTGCTTCTGCCAGCAGATCTTCGTTTGTTACTCCATTGTTTACAGCGCAGCGTGCCAACGACAAGGTGGTGATCGATTGATAACTCTTAAGGCGAACATCCATTACTGAGCGTATTTAGTCAGACGATGCGAATGTTAAATCGATCATCGATTTCTGTGCACAAGTTTATGGTCATGTAAGTACTCATGCACCCTTCGATGCTCGAAGGTGTTCATAATGGAAGTCCGTTGTTTGCACAAAACCACGGGAACTTGATGTTATTGTTGAGGTCGCTAGGACTGTTTTTTTCCAATCACGCCGTTCCATTTTTCAGCATCTACTCCGACATGCGCATTAAAATCGCCCATGAGTATGAAGGACTCTGTATTCGGCACTTCGGACAGCACACTGCCCTTCCTCAACGAAGATATCATATTCTCCCCGCAGATTGGGTGCCTAGACGTGTACCAGGGGGAACCATTTAGCCTGTTGTAGCTTCAGTTGGAGGAATACCACCCTGTCGCTGATAGGCTTCCAATCAGTGATTGTTTTTGCGAGGTTGGGTTGTGCCAGGACAGCAACACCGACCTGAGCGCGTGTCGTGATATCGAGATCTGAGTAGAATAGCTTCCATCCGCTGAGGTTCAGGAGTCCAGAGCAGTGGCGCTTCGTTGACGAGAGTCCAACAGTGTCGAATGGTACTTTATGGCCTCATCAGCTAATTCTTCTTATTTTCCTCTGAGTGAGGATATGCTCCAATTTCCGACTTTAAGCTCCCACTGGTGGTGTCGTTCTCGTGGAGCTATAATGGCATCGCGCTGTCTGCCTCCTCCGTTCAGAATGGGTAGCGACTCCGCTGCTGACTGGTATCTTCGACATCGGTGCGTCTGTCTTGGTCAGCCGTTGTTGTGCTGTTACCCCCTGTCTCTCAGAAGAGGGTGAGCTGGCTCTCATAGCCGACATTTCAGTCTTTCTCAGTCGCTCATCAGCCTGCGCGGCCCTTGGTATCCCGGGCGATGGCCGAGCCGGTGTAATTTTCGATGGAGTCAATTCCATGAGTGGGAGATGGCAATTACGGAGACTTCGCCACGGTCTCCAACCTTCCTCCATTCTGAACCGGCCTTGGGACCGGCGACGGCGGAGTTTGGCAACTGCAACAGAACGTAAATATTAGTGATTCAACATCTCAGTGGATGCTACGTGATGAGAGACTAATGCCTTCAGGAACATATTATTTTTTCAAAGTATGATAATTGTACGGCACGAACCAGGTATGAAGTTAAGTGCAGCCGTAAGACCCTGAGTGAAAGGTTTACGGACGAACCGTTAAAGGAATTACTTAATTGCACCAAATCATGATTTATGAGACATGCTGCTGCCTATAATTGTGCGCTGATTCTAAGCTAATTATGTAAACGTTTAGGTGGTTTTTACAATTGATGATGAACTATGTGCCAGTTACAGAAGCGACTTAAATCAGTTCTAGCTGTGGAAGAATTCCGGTCTGGTCGCTAATTCTTTTATTTCAAATTTTGGCTGCATATTTTATCTTACTTTCATACTCTCTGAACACAGCTGCTTCATTTCTTGTTTCCATGTGCATATATCGTTTAAAATAGTGTTGCTCTTGATGTTTAGGGTTTATGTCAAACTGCTGTTTCCATTCTTGTTTCATTTGTTTATGCTGTCAAAAATGTAACTTTCGAGATGTTCGGAGCTTATTTCAGTGTCTTTTCTTATTTGGTGCATTTGTGCGTTGCCAGTTGTTTAGGTTTTTGTTTTTACGAAAAGTAATGCCGCTTACTTTCTGCTTTCAAGACGTACAAGTTTATACCGCGTGTTCATGTTTTCCCATGATTAGTAGAGGTAAAGCAAAATTTTGTCTTTGAATTACTTCTGGTCTGCTAATCATTGCAAAAATACGCCTTACATAACGCTACAGTTTTCAGGAATAACCGCGATAGCAGCAGAGTATAACCATATATACAGTGCGCTGCACCTGTGCAAAAATTACTCGTTTAGGGTGCCATGATAAATTTTATGGTAAAAGTGAAAGTACAGTACCTTTTCATGAGTAAGCTAAAAGACACTGCACTAACATGTAAGAAACACTGATCTAAAGGAACAAGGATAGCAGCCCGCTGAGCGGGATAGCTGCAACGATGGTTCATATCAGCCGCTTAGAGACTTGTCTGCACGTGAACATAAGAGGCACCATTGCTTGAGTGCACATATTTAGCGCTGTCATAGCTGATAAAGGAAACAACTTTTAGCACGGCCTGTTACAAGGCTGAAAGATTTTATCACGGTCAAAAACGTTGGTTTATCCTAAGTAATCTAGTAAATGAAAAACTAAATTATCAGTTTGTTCGTTCGGTTTCTTACGGAGGTTACGCCCCTCCGAGGATCCCTTGTAGCGAGGTTAATTTACATTGTAAATAAGGCAGATCAGCTATTCGCTTAAGTGTTGCTAGTAAAATAAACTCGCTAAAATGTCAAGGAACTGTGGTTGGCAGAGGAAGCACAGTTTTCTGATATTCTCTTTCACCTGAATTCAAGTTTCAGATATGTAAAGTAGAACTAGTGTACGTGTTTGCTGTACATGAATTTTGACTGCTATCTTAAAGTGTACATCAATGAACCTTATGACAAAGGAACCAGAAATTTTGCATACCACCTGTTGCTCGAACTTCCCGGAAGAGTACTGTGCTTTTAAGTGAACTAAATTCACCATCTACCTTCGTACTTTCATGCTTTAATCAGATTCCGATGCTCTGCCTCATATCACTATGCGACTAAACGAACACCATCACTATCCAACATTCATCTAGAACGAACAAAGATAAATTCTTAAACGATCAATGCGACCACCAACGACCTTTCAAACAATAGCAGGGTAATGCGGATGGCAGCGTATAGTAATACAGCGCATAAACGCTGAAATAGCTTAGCACGGAAGCCCAGTGGGCAATTACTGCCCAATCAGTAGCAAAATGCAACGAATGCATCTTACGGTGATAACTGTTTGCAGGATAAGCCACACGCCGTAGTCATTCCCTCTGTCTAGTTGTTTGACCAGTCTGCATTCCACGTGATTTAGCTTTCGAGACGAACAATAAATGCTTGAGCCACAAAGCATAACTGATTTCAACGACGAAGCAAATGGCACATGTGTTTACCGTAAAGTAGCAGTAGTAGCCACGTCGATATGACTGCGCAGAAATTTCGGTAATTACAAAACGATGAAATATCTTAAGGCTACATTTTTCAAGAAAAGTTACATTAGGAGGCCTTGGGATCGAGATTCGCAGGAACTTCAAAACCACTCTGGCTAAACACTTGATATAATAGACACAACCATTCACAATGAAAATCGCACCAGGCAGGAAGAAATGACTTCGAATAAACACGCCGTCTACCCTCTGGATAGAGAAATACACTTGATATTGACAATGTACCTGAATTTAAAAATCATCGGCCAATTTGTGCCAACAGCCAGGTTTACTTCGTAAAGAAAATACAGCAGCCATTCGAAACAATAACTGGACTGTTTTTTATAAAAGCAAAATATATCAGCTCATAATCCGAAGTACCATGACAAACTTTAAAATAATGTGAATTAAATGTTTAAATTTGCTTGTAAAAGTTTTGATTAATTCACATCTAACGGAGGTGGTCTTTCTGGCACAAGCGATGAAAAGAACGAAGAACAGAAAATCCAACAAGTCGACCAAAATACCGTCCATGGAGAAGCATTGTCAGAACCATAGGAATTCGCACGCTCGGCAGTGTCTCTAATTTCTGCCGGCTCCGCGTTCTCCAACTGCAAGTTATCCCGCTGGTCACGGTTATTTACCGCTTCTGGTGCGGCAGCTTGATTAAAGCCAGCATTTTGTTGGGGAACGTTTGGTGGACCCGGTTCTTGTACGCGGTTCGCAACCGGTTGTCGAAGAAGTCGCCAACGTTGTTGCATAATATACATAATCATGCAACAAAATATGACGAAAACGAATCTCTCCAAAGATGAATAGAAGTATAGTACCATGAACAAGAGGCATGCTCGGCTGCCCATGTATATCCAGTCCAGCCAGTCTCTTGGATGTTCGTCATCCTCGTCGTCGACGCCACCCTAAACTTAAATTTTAACATTGAACTTTTGTGAAAGTGCTGCATTTGTCAAGTTAGAAATAAAAAAAGACAGCGACAGAAACTGGGCCAACAAAAGAAAGTAAACATCAGGTACGAGAAAATACAAGTGTTAGAACAATGCGCAGATCTCATTCTAGCTAGTTCATGGCTAAATTCAATATGCCGATACAGCAGAAAATCACCCAAATTAGTCAACTGCGTGTGAAAATTCAGAGACATTCAAATGATCCGGCAAGTACAGGATGATAACTGGCTCCACTTTATTTCTCGGTGTTTCTCACAATTCATATATGCTAAATCTCTTCAATTACCACGGCCATCAGAAAGACAATTTTAAAAATGGCCAGAGAGAAAGAATGAACAACCCTGCGCATCTGATTAATGATATGTCAGATAAAGATATCGCACCTGTGCGTTCAGCACTTGCTGTCGAGCTGGAGCAGCGGGACGGCGGGCGAGTGCCGCCGCTGGTGCAGCTTCTTCAGCTGCTGGCGGCTCTGTAGCTCCCGCTGCCGTCGACTGCTGTTGAAGGACATCCGTAACCGTCGCGGTCGACTCCTCCAAGCCCGTTGAAATAGCGGCAGTGTTACTGTATAGTCCGCCGGCGTACATGTACGGCCAGTTGGCGCTTCCATACATCCTCGACATGTACTGCATATACTCATTCATCATAGCGCTGTGCACATTTAGCCAACCAGCACTATCGAGTACCGGCGCCGTTGCTGAGACAGGGCCCAGTGAGTTCGCATTGGTGGGGCTGCATGCAAATACGCTTGTGCTTGGATGCTGTTCAGCCACGGCAGCCGGAGCAGACGAGGGCAAATGCCTACGTAGTCGCACTCCGGCATCGCTGTTGTCCGTATTCGAACACGACGGTAAACTATGAACTGGAATAGAACAAACCAGATGAATGATGCACTTGTCATTCATTTCCGGACGGATGTAGTCTGACAGCTTTTTATCATCAGCCATCAGATGGCCAGCACAAATCAATCGTTGTCTCGATGCATCCTGCAACCAGTAATGTAAATTAATATCAGAGAAAGTAGTATGACATGCAGAAGACAGGTCAAGAAGGCAGCGAGCATACATAACAGAAAAAATCGCAGAAACGCCAAATTTTTCTTTTATTGTTGATCTGTCGGACAGCTGACAGAAAAAACAACCCTTATTATTCTTCTTTTGCGATCATCCTGAGGCTAAACGCAACAAATGCAAAGCTAGAAAAAGAGCCAATGTAAATATTCATATATTCGGCACTGCAACAGCAACATATCGAGCGAGTGTTTGTTGTTTCTGTAATACTTCAGATTAGTATTTTAAATTTTTTCAGTGAATACTTCATAAACTTAACCTCTGCCCCTCGTGGTACTGCTATCACTGAAAATCATACCAACTCGGTCGTCGACCGGGTTACCAAGGGCCGCACAGGCTGTTGGGGGACTGAGGCAGACTGCGATCAGAACCTTCTCATTGCCCTCTGCCAGCCGGGGGCGTAGCAGCACAACGACGGCTGACGAAGACCGACGGAACGACGAAGACACCGGTCAACAACGGAGTCGCTACCCGTTCTGAACGGAGGAGGCAGACAGCGCGATGCCATTATAGCACGCCATAAAAGGCTCCACGAGAACGACACCACTAGTGGGAGCTATAAGTCGAAAACTGGAATATATCCTCACTCAGAGGAAAAGAACAAGAATTAGTTGAAGAGGCCATAAAGTACCAATTCGACATTGCTAGACTCTCATAAACGAAAAGCCAAGGCTCTGCATTCCTGAACTTCAACGGATGGAAGCTATTCCAACCAGACGTCGATATCACGACTCGCGCTCAGGCCAGTGTTGGCGTTCTGGTAGAACCCAACCTTGCGGATAGAATTACTGATTGGAAGCTTCTCAGCGGAAGGGCAGCAATCCTCCAATTGCAGCTACAACAGGCTAAAGCGCTGACCTTGTTACAAGTCTATACGCCCAAACTAAAGGGAGCAGTGCAGTGTGCTTCCTTGAAGCAGTGCAGTGTGCTCTGTCCGAAGTGCGGAATACAGTTTCTCATACTCATGGGCGATTTTAATGTCGGAGTAGACGCGGAAGTGGAAAGGCATGACTAGAAAGAACGGTCCTAGCGACCTCAACAATAGTGGCATGAAGTTGTTGCGGTTTTGTGCAAACAACGGACTGTCCATTATGAACACCTTCGCGCATCGAAGAATGCATCAATATACCTGGTGCAGTGAAGCTTGTGCGCAGAAGTCAATGATCAATTTGATAATCGTATGGTTTGCTTACGAAGCTCTGAAATGAATGTTCGCGTTAAGCGAGACGCAGAGCTGCCAACCGCTCATCACCATGTTGTTGGCACGCCACGCTGTAAGAAATGGAGTACCATAACGAAGATCTGGTGGCAGAAGCAACCAGAGCATCAAACGGGAAACGTCATCTTCGGTGGACACGAGAGAAAAATTTGGAAACATCACACGACTGTTTCAACAGATCCCAGTGATGACCAGTGATGTGGAAACCGAGTGGCAACTCTTTAAGAGCGGCATACTCAAGGCTGCCGGCGAATGCTGCAGATTTAAACGGGTTGGCCTGCCGCCTGGAAGTCAGAAAAGAACTTCCTGGTGGACACGAGAGGAACAACTGGCAGTTAAGGAGAAGGCAGCGTTCAAGAAATAGCTTCGAAGCAAAGAGCCTTCAAATTACATACGATATGCAGAAGCGCGCACGGCGACAGCGAAAGCAGTGGCAAAAAACCAAAGCTGATTCCTGGAAGAAGTTCGGTGAAGCGTTGGAGTCGAACTTCCACACGGCAGACAAGGTAGTCTGGCAGACAATCCGCCGGCTCCGAGGTGAAAAGAAGGGGAGTCTAAGAGTCTTGAAGGACAGATCTGGACACCCTCTTACCAAAGATGATGACATTCTTCGGCGATGGAGAGAGTAATATGAGGAACTCCTCAACCCCAAGCAACCGCAGAGTGAGTTTCGAGTCATGTTTCATTCCACGGAGCAGTAACTATTTTTTTAACGGAATTTATTTACTATGACATTCGCATAATAAAGTTCAGTTAGATGCAACTC